GACACTTACTGGAGAAGTGGTCTGACCGAGGTTTAAAGGGACACTCCATTGCCCAAATAATAAATAATTACTGTTAAGTAGATATACCCCAAATGAAAACTTGCATGTATTTAATTATGTATTTTTTTAATTGTGAAAACCTGCAGTTCTCTTGTCTGTTGCCTTTGCAAGCTCTCCCTTTCTAACCCCGCCCAGACTTTCTGTGGCTGCCCAATCACAGACTTCTTAATACAGCTCAATGAGAAGTATTTGTAAGTCAAGTCCTCTGGGCAATTGCTGCCTCTTGAGGTGAACTGCATTGAGCTAACGAAACCAGGAAGTAGCATTACCTGTTGTCTGCTTGAAATCCAAGGGGGTGTAACCAGGTTAATTTATAAAAGTGTCAATTTCTATTGAAATCTTTGCAAAATGAAAAAAAGAGGACACACTCTTCACACATAAAACTTTTCAGCAAGCCAAAGTTTTTTAGGGGTCTGGAATGACCCTTTAAACTGGGGTTTCCCGTTTCTAAGGCAGTGAAACTACCACTAATATATATTTTGCAGCATTGTATGAAATGACCAGCAATATTTTCAGGGTCCTTTTTCTCCTGGAAGCAAGGTTAATTTGTGTCTCCATATAATCTGTATTTACTCCTTGCTATGGGGTTTAGCCAAGATCTTCATAGTAGTATTTGTGATGGAAAACATTGCATAACATGAAAGAACCTTGATAGTTTCAGTCATTCAGTTAAATGAACGGTCATCAGACAGTGACCCAACTATAAAACCTATCAAAAAATATGTACCCCTGGAGAACACAATGTAAGGTCTACATTGAAATCATCCCTTGTTCCTGAAGACATTTGGGAATTACTATAAAAAGATTGTAAGCTCTTTGTCATATTGACTCATTCTACATGCAGCGTTCTGTGATTCAGACTGAACGATTTGCTGGCAGCCTAGCCTGTAGAAGCAGATGGTGTGACACAGTGATTAGGCTGTCAGTCCGCGTAATAAGTAGATCTACATACGGCTGATGTATGGCAGCAAAATGTTAACTCTTCTTCAAATATGGTGAATCACTAACACACAGAAAGGTTAAGATTACTAATAGCTCAGCCAGTTTAAAACATATCAATTAAAGAAAATGAGCAGGACCAAACAGAGCAGCCAACTGCAATACATGGCCATTTACGTCTCCATACTTGTATTGAACAAAGGCTGGATGTAGGGAGAAATTGATGTTGACATTCACAGATCATCATTTTTAAATGCATCTCTTTTACCACGCCTTTTATATGTTCAAGTTTGCAAAGACCCTGGTCAATGTGTGTATTTTTAAACATCAGGCTAGCCCAAGAAATGCAATGAGTTAAAAAAAAATGTATGTACATCTATAATTTACAATACTCTGTAATCTGTAAAAATCCTGGTGGGAGAGCATAAATTGGCAAATCCTGGTGGGAGTGAAAAATGTAGGGAAACTATGGGTTAGAAATACAAACTGAAACCAGCGCCAATGTCCCTTGGCGCTGGGGCAGGCTCCGCCTTGGCTCCGATGTCGGGGACCTAATGCGCATGCACCCCTATGGGGTTTTGGGTGACGCTGGATGTCCTCATGTATAGTGTGAGGACATCCAACATCAATTAGGTGACCAAAAGTTGCTTAATGACCTGGATGTCCCTCTAGTTGTTGTCTGGTAGACAGCCACTAGAGGTAGAGTTAACCCTGGATAATAATTATTGCAGTTTCTTAATAACTGCAATAATTACTATTGAAGGGTTAAGGGGACTGGGATAGTGCACCCAGAGACCACTTCAATAAGCTGAAGTGGTCTGAGTGTCTATAGTGTCCCTTTAAGTTTTATCATGAGTTTTTCATCTAATGGAAACTATTAAAATTGTGCCTAGACAGAGATCGCCATGTTGAGCTGCGAACTCAGGGCAACTCCTACATGATCCTCAAATTAGAGTACAGAAATGTTTTGTAAACTAAAAAAAATGTGAATTACAAAATTTAGAATTGCTTGTTAGCTGGCAATATAATGAAACCATACACAAAGTAGTGATGGTTCTTGCATTCTATATTCTGTGGAGTATATTAGGTCTGCTTTTCCTGCACACTTAGATTTAGGAATAGGATTATTAGAACTAATGTTATGGAAGTTAAGGTTAGATACAGGTTTAGGCTTATGACAGGTTTATCAAACTCTTATTCTAAGCACCATAACCACTACAGCCAGCTTTAGTGGTTTTGGTGGAAGGAGTACCCTGGCACACTCCCAGAGAAATTTAGGAAATCCTTTTAGAATGTTGTAACAATTTACCTGAGTTCTGCTAGGGGCTCACGGCCACATCCCTGCTTCTTCACTGAGGTAAGCAGCGCCATGCTCATTGGATAAGAGTATCAGCTGAGGGCTCTTAGCCAATGAGTGCAGTCCTGTATTGCCCAGGATTAACTCTGCAGTGTCAAATTTAGCTCAGTTAAGACATATAGTAGAAGACTGAATGCTATGCAGGTGCCTGAAGGATGCAGGTAAGTTGTCAAGCCATTGTACAATTATTTGATAGATAAGTCTGGGAGGGCACCAGGGTACACCAGGCATCATAACCACTGAAATGAAAGGTAGTGGTTATGATGCTTGGAGTGTTACTTTAATGTTACAGCAGTAATGGAACTAGACTGAAGAGGTCTAGGTCTGGGCCTAAGGTCGTCGAGTTAGAGTTAGGACCAGTAGGAGTATTTTATGAGAGAGAGAGATTTTTAATTTTTTTTTTTTTCTACACTGGTGAGACATGCTTATTATTATCACCAAGCTAGAGGAATACTTTTGTCATCTCAACCATCATGTCATCTTGATGTCAAATTTTAAGATTACACACTAAATACATTTGGATTAAGGGGTAATTTGTTTTTCTAAACAATTTTACTAAAATCTAATTAATGACAAAAGAGAGAGAAATATTAATGCAAAACAAAAATAAAAAATATAAACTTATTAACAGGTTCTCATTATTGTCAGGTCAGATTAATGGCAGATCAGAGAGGCGTATAAGCCAAAACATATGTTTCATCCTTGAGGGAGATGAGAAAGGTTGGTTCTCTCCTCCTTTTTGTCTCCAGTATTGCCGGAGTCTTGTTTTCCTCACATTTTAGAAGTTTCCAGGTCACCACTCGCATTGGTAAAATTATTCTTCCACATCAAAGCAGTTACAAAAATTCAGGTAAACGGCAAGATCAGCTTTCCTTTGTTCAGTTTCTAGTTTGTTAATTGATTTATATATTTTTTTTCTGCCGCAGCTTGCGAAAAGAACTTCAAAGAGAATGCTTAGTTCGAAGTAGTTTAATTTTATCATTTCTCATGTACTATTGATGCTATTCCTGCTTTGCATTCAAAATCTAAAGACAAAGACTAAACAAGCGGATTTTTTTGTGATGAACAATTATTTGTGATTAGACTCTTTAAATAACCCCAAATCTCCCCTTGCAGCCCTACAGACAGCCACCCCATGCTTGCCTATTAGTCCATGGGTTACAAAAGGCATAGCACAAATCATTCAGGTGGTTTGTTGCACAAAGGGGTAGTGCCTTCCATACCCTGCAACATACATTGACATTACCTCCATATTTCACTACTTCCAACTTCAAAGTGTCCTCTGAAAGTATGACAACCTGCAATGGCATAGCCAAATGAAAAAATATCCTTGGCTGCAACATCTGTATCATAGGTGGTGGTCCGATCCACTTAAATCCAAAGCTTTGTCAGTCTGGTTATGCTGCTCCATTGACCAAAACTGATACCGCTAAGGCTGGTTACATGCTCCAATGGGAAAAGGACGGTGGTATGATTTATGATACTGAGTGGATCAAGTTACTTAATGGACTAAAACGAGGTACTTGGTGTTACAACCACATTGAGGAACATAGAAATTTTTTGTATTGTTGGTTTTGAACACCGTTGGTTACTTTGGGGTCTCTAACACTGTGGCATGTCCCCTTAATTCTACACTTAATACATCTACCTTTTTCTCTGTCCCAAACTGCATACCAGGAGCGTCTGTCTGGTAGTAAGAACGGCAGGAAAGGAATGGGCAAGTAAGTGCTAGAGGCCATCAGAGAAATGTCCCTACAACGTAGAGCAAGCGCATCATTAGCTCAAGGTGTGGAAACAATGCTGTCTGCATAGACCGCCTTTAGTTGGATGGTCTGTGAGGTTGGCAAGCAGCCTGGCATGACATTCAACTCTTTGGGCAGACCTGGCCTCTTCTGGACTGGGACCACCCCTTTGGACAGTGCCAGTGACGTGATTTACATCACTGACCCACTGACGTCCTGCTTAACAGGATGCCAATGTTGGTGGATATGGGTTTGGTTGAGAGATAAAAGTGAGAGTTTAGCATAGGACAGGGATAGGCAACCTTCGACACTCCAGATGTTGTGGACTACATCCCCAATAATGCTCTTACACCCATAATGCTGGCAAAACATCATAGGAGGTGTAGACCAAAACATCTGGAGTGCCGAAGGTTGCCTATGCCTGGCATAGGATATATGTATTCTTGCAAATTCATTCTGTGAAGTTCCTCCAGCACCAACTCCACCAGATACATGACACTTGAAAACTATGCCTGTTTTAGTGTTTGCTGTTGATAACAGTATGTTATCAGGCCCATCGTAATTGTCAGAATCAGGCCCAATGGGCTCTTAATACGGCTATTCCTGAGCTGCAATGGCAACGGTGATAGGTTGAGAGCATTAATTCAGTACACTTTGCCTATCACTGTCACAACTAATGTAAAGTTATACTCCACCTTGTACGCACGTCCAGTGGGGGTGAAGCCATGGTCCATGGGGCAGAGCTAAACTATTCAAAAACAGTTTCACACTGAGTAGCGATTAATCAGCTCAATGACATGAAGTTGTTATGGTGTTTAGGGTCCCTGTAATACAGCACAGCAATAAATAGCTGCAGTTGCATTTAGAATAAAATAGTATATAATATATACATCCTGGTTACACTAACATTTTGTTTTATGTTTCATTCTTTTCATTGTGAAAACATACATTAAATCATTAGGAGAAAAAAAAAATAACCATTGTTTCTTTAATTGTATTACAATACATGTGCTTTAATGTAGGCATTTTAAGCAGCAATTTCTCACAATATGCAACTCCAAAGAAAAAAACATGTTAATGCAGTTTGTAGTTGTATGGTCTCCAGTTATCAGAATACTATTTTCCTTAATTTATTACCTACTAGATTAGCATTTGATAACATTTTCCATCATCGCACTGAACAAGAATCTTAATTATAATACAGAGAAAATGCAATTAGGAAATATCCACACACATTTATTAAACATGTTACTGACTTAATGTTGGAGGAGGTATTTTTTAGTTGTACACTTCAATCCCTGCTTTATGGTGACATTACCTGCTCTCTGGAGGAAGTGCATAATATAATAAAAGAATAAAATCAAACCCTTATTCTTTATAAATAGGAAACAGGTATAGAGGCCATTCACCAAATTGTTGGTAACTTCTTATTAATAGACTTATGCACTTACATTTGTACAAGTAGGTGCCCATAAGATACTAAATGCATAGGGCTTGTTAGCGCCTATTTAGAATGCGGGATTCTGCTTTAAGCTTCATTACTTCATTGTGTGTCTGGTTGGGGAGACATTTTTTTTCTTCAGAGTGGTGTAAGTAGGGAGCAACTGCAGAGGCAGTGCTAAAAGGTATGTAATAGTCATTCGTATGCTTAAAGGGACACTACACTGTTCCTTTCACTAAATAATTGCTGTTCAGTAAATATACCTCCTATTAAAATAAGCATGCATTTAATTATGTATTTTATTTCGTAGGCAACATATCTAAAAACAGCTTTCAAAAACTGCAGATCTCATGTCTGAAGCCTTTGCAAAACCTCCCCTCCTAACCCAGCCCTTAGTTTCTGTACGTTTCTGCTGTCCAATCGCTGACTTCCTAATGCAGCTCAAAGAGAAGTCTGAGCAATAGCTGCCTCCAGAATTTAACTCCACTGAGCTAAACAGCCAGGAAGTAACGGACCAGTTGTCTGATTGACAGCCAAAGGGGTGTGACAAGGTTAATTTATAAAAGTGCCAATTTCTATTGAAATCTATACTTTTTCTAAAATTAGAAAAAGAAGACCCACTACATACAAAAAACACTTCAGCATGCTGAAGTGCTTTAGGAGTCTTGTGTCCCTTCAATGCAATACTGTAATGCAATAATTGTAAAAATGGAAATTTAGTTATTTACTTTAATGCTGCAATGCATATTTTCGTAGCATTGATGTAAATTCTAGCATATTAGCACCCATGACATCATTGTAGACTGTCTCTGTGAACAAGTATTTAAATTGTGTGATATGTACGTTAATAAGGCACTTATGCTTGCCTAATACTGGAACATTGCATCTGCTCACTTTCCGTATCTCTATAAGGGGTTTCAAATTCAGTAACACATATGCGTCACTTTCATGTAGTTCCTGATAATAACACATCGCTTGTTAATATTTCTTAGAGTGTGCAAATCTGCAAAATATGACACTTTTAGGAAATACAATGACATCAAGACAGATGTTGTAATTTATGGCAACAGTAAATTTTAATTGAGAAATATATCATTTGGTTTATCTAGTGAGTGATTGTAAAACTTTTACATATACAATATTTTTTTGGGCAATTAATATTCATATAAATTCCTTTATGAAAGATTGCATTTTCATATATTTGTTTCAATAACTGAGGTTAAAGGGATGGTTCGTCGACAACTCTTTTTAAAAATTGGAAATTGTGGCCAAAATACATGCAAAAAATAAATAAAAATATATAAATATGAAACTTTCTTTAAATTTCTTATTTTGGTTTAAATTGAAACAGTTACCTACAAGAAGTGAGGATGACTGGTACACCTTCAGGTAGGTATGGATTTAACGTATTTATTATTCTGGCAAAATTTCCAGCAAACTCTGTTTAAAAAAAATATACTAAGTTTAATATCATTTCCTTCTCCATCAAAAAGATCATGGAAAGAACTGGCCGCTGCATAGACAGAAACACGTAGATTGCAATGGCCGCCATATTTGTAGATTTGTATAGCAAATGTGACTAAGGAGATCAAAAGGTGCATAATAAATTAACATTCCATCTATACATTCCTAGAAATTTGGTAGCACACTATAGATAAAAAATGTATTCTTTCTAACGTGAAACAGTCATATTTGCTATGACAGGTGTACTTTAAATATGGAAAGTCTGCTGACTTTCTAAGATCTTCTTTCACAGAACACTCCAAGCACCTTAAGAAGTTCAGCTTGCTGAAGTGCTGCACGATTATATCACCTGTCCTTCGTGACACCTTCCTCACTTTGAACTGTAGATAAAAGAGGAAGTGATGAGCTATGACGATCTCAGGCCTTGCCATTCAGACACTTCTCAATGAACAGCTGGACAATGTCCGGTACAGGTGGGAAAGTCTATGCAGGACAAATCGGGGAGGATTTACAGTAGTTCTGAAGATAATATAAGGCAGTTTTTTTTCTGCTCCCCAAAGAAACAAAAATAGGGTAGTTGAAGTGGTATAACGACCTAATGTTTGAATTTTTTGTTCCTCTATGAGTGTTCCTTTAATTCAAATTCTCTGTTTTTTTTACTATACAGTGGGACCTCGGTTTACGAATTTAATGCGTTCTCCGGGACCTTTCTTTTTGCGAAAAATTTGTAAACCGAAACACTGTTTCCCATAGGAATGCATTGAAAAACAATTAATCAGTTTTGGAAGTCAGAAAAAGGTCAAAATGAGCTGGCATGGAAACAAACCCACAATGCAGAACACACAATAAAAGGCATGCAAACGACAAAGCTCAGCTCCCTACCTTTCCACAGCTTGAGAAATGCACCAAAAAGTCCCAAAACAACTGCAAACAATTTCCAGAATGACTCCAAAACGCGATGCAAAAGCCGCTCCAACTCCTCCACACTCAACGCCAAGTGCTACCCAAGGCTCCAGCATGCAGGGGGCAGTGCTATAAACCTCCCAGGTGCAATGCATCCTGGGGAAACTTGCTTTGTATTGCAAAAAAAAAAAATAGTAAACTGAGGCATTATTTCCAATGGATTTTCATTTGTAAACCGAAAATTATGTTAACCGAGGCGTTTGTAAACCAAGGTCCCACTGTATATGTATTACAATTGATGCAATCATTTTCAAAATTATTAGTACATACATGTATTGATGTGTGTATATATTTCATTTTTTCTTTTGGAGCACGAGCGTTACAACAAAATAGTAATAGTACAGCTATTAAATACATCCTAATCTTCCATGCACTGTACGCAATGCTAGAATGGCAACTTCTTGAAAATGATGAAGCAGGTGAAATGTTAAAGCTGTGGTTGGGAGATCTGTCATTTAAAGACCAGTGGGAAGCTTTGTAACGAGATACACTGTGGACGGCATATATAAATGTGCTGCTTACAGCAGTTTAGGGTGAATATGAGATCAGCTCCCTGAGGAGAAAATGAAGATTTTAAAGATGTGGTGCTTGGATCTAGAATATATAAACTGGTGGCTGATGATACATATATTTGTTAAATCCTGAATTCTGCACGTTTCTGTTTTTATCAAGTGTCAGAATATCGTAGCAGTGATAGAATGTAGATGGTGTTTAAGGTATGCAAGTAAGCTAGCGGTAAACTACCAGGAAGGGATCAGTGAGAAGTTCTAAGGCAAGATGTGTTGAGAATTGGCACAAGAAAATATTTTAAAGGGGAACTGTCAACACTCTAGAATTTACACAATTTATACATTTGTGAACACCTTTTTTCCATGTGATTCCTTATTTTCTTTACATTTATATATTTTTCTTTTATGTTTTATTAAATATTTAGGAAATTGCATCACAATCCAGTTCAGACAAGGCAAACCCAGGGCAGATATTGCACATGAAGAAGAGAAATAGAAATTTCATGTATCCTCTATTCTGTGTACAAGTACAAAAGGGCAGCGCTTATAACAATGATTGACAGGGAGCTAAGATGGAGGCACATAGGTACGGATTTCTACGTTTAATCTATTTCAGACATCACAAATACATATATATAATAAATATAGGGATATGTAAACAAAATATGATAATTCCCCTTTAAAGTGGGTACGTTATCTGCAAATGTATGCTATATCATTCAATCTATACAGTGTGCTGGTAAAATGTTCAGCAGATATTCTTAATGGAACACTATAGCATTAGGAAGACAAACCCGTACCTAGGGTCGTGGCCCTCTCCCCCATTTGCAATGAATAATTATGTTTTATTTCCCTTTCATCCCTTGCCACGCTATTGTCCAGGATGCATGTTCCACCTCCCCGGCTGAGATCATCAAAGGGATGTATTGGAAGGCTAATGCACATGGATTGCCTAAATGTTGCACTGCACCAATCAAATGCTGCTCTACAAGCAGCATTTGATCTATAACTTAGTTCAGTGATGGCTAACCTTGACACCATAAATCATTTCTGGACTACATTTCCCATGATGCTCAGCTAGCTTTTATACTCTAAAAGCTAGCAGAGCATCATGGGAAATGTAGTCCAGAAACTATTTATGGTGTCAAGGTTAGCCATCAATGACCTAGCTTGACTCTGTTATAGCAGAGGAAGTGCCTCTAGTGCCTGCTTCCTAACAGCTACTAAAGGCGTGTTAACCCCCCAAGTCCTACAGATCGGCAATGTTTTACAATGCAGGGTTAAAACAGCAGGACACTGCACCTAGATTACTTCACTGAGGTTAAGTGGTCTGGGTGCCTTTAATAGTCCCTTTAACAAAGATTTTCTGTGGCCAAGGCAGTGGGCTGAGTGCAGTCATGTGCATAACACCATGTAGTGCATTCTGGGGGCATTGCAAATCATGACAATATATCTGCTGACTGGGCCACCTCATGTAATGTACATGCAGCCCAAATCATTCACATAAATTTAAATATAATATATGTACTTAGCATTGCCTAAAACAATGACACAATAACAATGTATTCTCTACATTAAAACAGTCCTGTACTCTTTTCGATGGCAGGTACACATAAGGAATAGACATTTAAAGGAACAATCTAATGTGAAAAACAAATGTATTTAATTTTAATGTTAGAATGTTACTTGCTTCCTTTATATTAAGGGTTTCCCTTTAAGGGTGAAGTTCTCCTAGTAGCCATCTGTCTGAGTCACAAGAGATTTTTGGAAAAATGAAAACATTATTTTACAATGTCTGAAAAAAGGGACAGCATGTCTGAACCAAAATCACTACATTAAGATGGAGTGGTTTCAGTGCTTATAGTGTTCCTTTAAGATGGGCATTAATTGGAGAGGCTGTATTTTGTTCAAATAGAAAACTGTCCAAAACATTTGATTATTTTTAAACATGAACATGTTGAGCTGACAAAAAGGCTGGCTTCAGGTGAGAATTAACATTAAATATGTAAGTTTTCAGCCAGTGAAATCACTAGCAAATGTGTTGACACGCACTCACCCAATTCGGCCCCCATGCTTGTAGTTCATACCTCAATACTAAATGTACAAAGGTATACAAAGCACCCTTAAATTAGAAAAATAATGTTATCTTTACATCAGCTAGCATTATGTCTCAGTGCTATATTTACATGAAAAGTGTGCTTTAAGACACTTTAGATGAAATACAAGTAGGAAACCGATTCTTTTACAGTTAGTGTATGTTACCATTGCCAGAGAATTGAAAAGTGCACAGAAAAATCTCACCACCCGGGAGGTAAACGTGTAAGCTAACATTGCTTAGAATTAACATGGAGCGAGAATTGAAATGTAGATGTGGAGATATGGAATGTGATAAAGAACATACTGTAGTGTAACAAGATATAACATTACATAACACTGTTTTTTAAAACGTGATCCTGAAGGCTTGTCTTTTCTGTGCAATATTTTTTTATTCCCTTGTTTCCTTCCGTTATCCCCTTTATGAAACATTCATTGCTGCGTCAAAGATTGCATGTGAGCTTGTCGCTTTGCTTTTGTTTGCAGGTAGCGTGCTTTTCCCTCTTCAAAGCGTTTCTTTTCTTCTTCACTTTCAATCTGTATAAACAATACGAAAGCAACATTATAGTTAATTAACTTAACCACAATATCAAACTTCAGTCATCATAATGCAAAACTATTAAGTCCACAAGGACCAACAATGATCAATGTTAGCATAATAGTCAGGTCCCCCGGGGCAAGGTAGGATTGAGTCATACCTTGCTTAGTTATCACACACATACAGATACCTTGGACATATTTTTGTATAATGATTTTCCCCGTGAGCGTGTTTTTTTCTAGTGCATCCTCTTTTCAACGTATTGGTGAATAAATGTCGGGACTGTTTAAAACATTGGGCTTCTCTTCCTGTTAGCACTATCAGAATTTTAATGGTCTTCCCCTGCCGTTTATCTTGATTGATGGTTGTGGTCAAGTAAAGGTAAAATGAATTGTAGAGGACTAATATTCTGACTAAACCTTCAGAAAAAGACTAGTCCACTTAAATAGTTTGTAGGCCAATAAAACAGATTTTGAAAAAAGAAAAATCATATATGACTACGTTTTATTATATAGACTGTTATCATGCTAAAAATACAAAGCATGCCATGTCTGCTTTAAGTAAAATGTGATGGACTCGTACTCAGGCTGAGCACCCCCACCGGGTCAGCTTCCTTGTTGCTATCAGGGACCCTGGATCACTCTGGACCTCATCGCTGAAGATGGATTCTAGATCTCTGAGAACCTTTTCTGCCTAATAGGATCTACTGCTTACAGTCCTTTCTCCTGAGGCTTTCTCGCCTGTGTAGCCGTAGTGATTGTAGCCCTTTCCCCAATACATTAATCAAGACTTAATATAGAAGGTGAAATTAACTTCTTATTTGGACACTCGACATGTCTATTTATACAGGTCAAATGTGAATTGCTCCTCCAGAGAGTCCTCCATACAACACAAACTTTGCCACAATCCCCACTCCAGCGCCACTCAGTCTGGCATTGTAATTATTTTAGTATGGGTTAATATGATGAACTCCCCACTGTGTCCTCCCAGACATGTGACTGTGATGCATAGGCCCCATGGAAGCCCCCTTCCCATGGACAGCACCCTCACACATTACATGTGCCTGGATAGCTCATCATCCCAAGTCTACATTGTCCAAACTGAGCCTGAATTGGAAAGACCTTGCCCAAGTGACAGGGTGTTAATATTCCTCCGGGTCGCAACCAATCTCCAATCTGGGAATGAGATCCAAGTTCTGGTTGGTTCGGGTACTTTTAAAAGGTGTTCCTGTGGCTCTAAGGAGAGTAGCGTCCCAAAGTCTTGACCTTGCTGGTCCTTTCCTCCAAGAGCACCTTCCTCAATGACAAGGGGGACAGGCAACCTCCAGTTGAAGGTTGATGTGCTTGTATTCCAGTCTGGTTTCCAGTCTCATGAGGTTTTTGGATCCCCATCAGTGCTGGGTTATAGTTTGGACCCTGGCAGCCTTCAAGCCAGAGTGGAAATGGGATTGTGTCACAGACAAATTTATAAGGAAAATGAGAGACACAAAGAGACACAAAGTTGCAATTTTATATTTCACAATAAGTAAAAATTAGATTCTGCAATGATTTAAAAACCTCAAAAGGTTTCTTCAAAGTAAACTTTGGCATAATTAACAGTTTAACAATACAATTGAACAAGAGACAAGCACCTTTGGAAAGCTGAGCTGAGAATCATTTATTCTAGAGTGCATTATAGTTCTATTAAAAACTGTAGTGTACATGACGAGAAATAAAACAAACTCTTATACATTAAAACAAACATACAATGTGATAAAAAAAAGAAAAGTTCTCCCTTGCATACCCTCAATGGGTAGAAAATGCCCCAACCTCTTAACTTCTGCACTTTTCCCATATAAAGTGATTATACACTTATAAGCTATAGCTGTATAGCAAGCATACTGTATGTATGTATTATAGGGGGAAGATGATTCATATGCCAAGACAAACAAGCATATTCTTGGCAATTAAAGTAACGAACACAAAAAACTGCTCAGCCATAAAGAGGTTAAAACAACAGAACAGATGGTAAACAGACGTTTTACACAAGTGAAAGTTATAAATACATACCTCCCGAGTGTCGCTATTTCGGGGGCACAGTCCCTATTTTGGACCCAAATCCATCTGTTCCTCTTTTCTATCCTAATGTTCCTTTTTTATCAGAGCATATTTTTGGTATTTCTGACTATATAACAGAGCTTCACATCAATAACACTCACAACAATGTGCCTTTAAACTACAATACATGTGTTTAAAAATTAGTCTGTATCAATAAAGAACATTCTCTTTGTTCTTAATGCCATTTTACTTGCATTTAGTGTTATTAGTAATTCACCCAAATAAATTTAGAACTGCCCCACCCCAAAAATGAACGTGTCCCTCTTTTTTCATTTATATAATTGGGAGGTATGTAAATATAAAAAAAATGAGCAAGAGCAAGTATAGAGGATATATAGAAAATGCAGATACATAAATGTAATAAATAGAATAGACTTGCTATAGAAAACATTTACAGCTGCTAAAAAATTAACACATTATACAGTGCCTCAGTCCAAATCCAAATTGGTGATCATATCAGATGGATGAGCAGTTACAGGATTTACAACAAATCAATAATTTATTCTATTTTTGATCATGATAATCAATATTTAGGTTCTCGAAAAGGTCTCATGCTCGAGGACCAATTGATGACTTTGTTGTATAATGATCAAAATGGTTTATTGATTTGTTATACAGTCCATGACCCTTCTGTATTGGATAAATAAACAGTTTTACATTATAGAATGTTATGTAAAATACGTCTACATAATCAACAGCAAAATGTGTGTGTAGACGTGGTCATGAAAACAGCTACACAAGATATGAGTAATAAAATAATCGCTTGGAACACAGTTTCTCCTTATCATCTCTCTTCAGGGGAAAGGTACTGCTTCATTTAATGCCTTAAAGCAAAATAGTAACATCTGTTTGATAAATTCAGCCAATATTTCCTGGCACTGCACTATTAACTTCTGGTTTTATAATAATGGGAAATCTGGGAAAAAAACAAAAAGAAAGACAAAAAACAAACCACATTTTTTCCCAGCTTCAATCTTTTTGAATGATATTGATTTTGGGTAGGTTAGCAGCTGATGAATTATTCATTGTTTTAGTATGGATACTCGTTGCAATATTGTTTGCCTGGTAATATGGTCTTAAGGTATCACAATTCTTGTATGATTTCTCAGAAAATATGTAAAATAACCACTGCAAAAAGGCAATTCCTTACAAATCTAGCCCTTTTCTATATTTTCCTCTTATTTTTTTATTTTATATTCTTTATTTTTATTGTGCACAAAATTACAAACAATCTGGCATAGCCCCGACAGCCCAGACCAGCGTTATAGCAACAAATCTTAAGATTAACAGCATGGCTTCATTTAACATTGCATATTTTGTAATAAGTGGTGTATCGTGTAGGTCACTCTGGTTCGTGTGGCTAGGAGAAAAGAGGGTATGCATGTGCTCGTCCGCCCGTTAACTAAGCTAAATTCAGACCGTAATGTAGGTTTGATGCCTTGTGAATCCAGTCGCTCATAGGGCCGTAAAGGCTGTTTTATTGCTGACCGCGTTAGTGATCTAGCTTAACACCTTAGAGCATAGGTGAGTTCCCCAGGGTTAGGGTGTCCAGTTCTGGTGGGCTGTTAGGGTACATTCTCAGTTAATATGGGTAGCGTGTGGGTTGATTTTCCTCTTATTTAATACAAACTCTCCCCCTCACCCTTTTTTTTTTTTTTAAGGAAAACTGTCCCTTATTTAGTTCATGGAAAGATTATATGCCATATAGCTGGCTGTATATTATTTTGTAATTCAGTTAGTAATCTCCTGCCGTAATATTGCATTTCGGGAGAAACCACTTCTAGCCCTCTTTAGTCATAACCTTTTATTTGCCAAGATCATGCACACACTGAATGTCTAAAACCATCACAGAATGCCTATTGGCAGGGCCATTGCTGGAAGGCAAAAGGATCAGGGACTGTGGCCAAACTGTATATTTAATGACCACTCTAACATATTCTGACTTATTGGACTATCTTCTTTTAAAACAATCTCATCTCAATGAAGTTATTTTGAGGACAGGAGTCCCTGGGCAAAGTCTTGCCTTAAAAATGATTTGGGATGGTTTCACATCAAAGATGCTCCCAAGGTTCCCATCAGTTCTCTCCTGTCTCTTCTATGCACAGCCACTATACTGGGCAAAGGAGGGAATCATTGAGAAGCTTTTAGTGCCAATGATTGTCTCGGAGCATCAGCTGACATTCTCATGGTTGGCTGACCGCTGGCAGTATAATATGAACTGCCAGTCAAAATGGGTGTCCAGTTATAGGCAGAGAGTGGCACCCCTGGCCTACCTCTTTAAAGATTCTGAACAGGGGGCACTGGATACTGGAATTGGGATATTGAGATTGGGCACTGGATACTGGGCTTTGGGATTAAACAATTTGTGACCGGTTTAACCCCTAAATGTAAGCCAGCACCAGGGACCTTGTGGAACCATAACAACTCCATTTTTTTTTTTTTACACAATTTGTAACACTGAGGTTTCATTTAAATTTGCTAAAATGCGTTACTGTGCAATTAGTTAAAAATGTTAAAAAGAAAAGAAAATGTTGTATATTAATAAAGTCATATAAAACCTTGGCTTCAAATTAATCATTTTGTGCACTGTTTTAAAGACAAGCACTGCAAAAAAATAGATGTTTAAAATGACCTGTTTCTGAGAGGTATAAAAAAAATATGTACTATTACAGTGCCAATACAAATGTAATGATGATAATAAAGAAAACTATGGAGCAGTCTGAAGCCAGGGGAGAATAATTTGTCAAATCCTGCTACATTTATTCTGTCCTGCATTTTGTAGAGTCACGACAGCTAAATTAAGTTAGGTAGAGCTTGCCAGAGATATATTTTATAAGCTCTGTTCACCTTTAGGTTCAGAGTGTTAATTATGTGAAGAATTGCCATGTTTTCCTTTCATTACTGAAACTCCAGGAATTCATCCAGGTAATAAGTGACAGTGAGACCTATTTGTTCTTTGATTCCTTGGGAAATAATAAAAAAGTGATATCTCTATATGCAGTAAAATTGCTCAGAGGGCAACAGAAATCTACGCCAAACTAACTCCGCTCAGCCTTTCCTCTTACCAACGTTGATCACATAGATACTACTGATTGGGTAAATACCATCTATACCCCAGGATATATAAAAAACAAGAAATAGCAAAAAATATTACTCCCCATAAAATAGATATTTAACATCAACATCATATGGACTACAAATTCTTCCAAGGTATAAGTTGTGTATTTTATACAAAATTCAACAATTTGTGTATCTTGATATTGAATACTTTGGTTTCCAAATGGATGCCTCAAAGCAAACCATTCATTATTTAATTAGGTAATTAATTTTAATGATGGAGGTGGTGGTGGTGATATTACAGCATCAGCATTGTCTTTTAATGGATCCATTGTTAATATATCCAACATTAAAGGGACACTGTAGGCACTCAGACCACTTCAACGTATTGAAGTGGTCTGCGTGCAGTGTCCCAGGCCGCTTAACCCTGCAATTGTAATTATTGCAGTTATTGAGAAACGGCAATAATTACATTGCAGGGTTAACTCCACCTCTAGTGGCTTCTATTAGACAGACACTAGAGGGACTTCCTGGTTGTAAGGTGTAGGACATCAAGTGTCATCCAAAACCCCATAGGAAAGCATTATGCAATGCTTTCCTATAAGGCTGTCATAATGTGCTTGCACCGCTTTCCGCAGAGGAGCAAAGGTGGAGCCTGACCCAGCGCAGAGGGACATTGGCGCTGGATCCATGTAAGTGACAGAAGGGTTTTGCGCTGCGGGGGGCTGCATGAGTGGGGGGGCGGGGGGGGGCACTATAGGTAGGTATAGTGCCAAGAACAGAAGTTTGTATTCCTAGTCTATAGTTTCCCTTTAATTAGTGTAGAAAAATGACTAATCCTGCACTCTGGTGTGTCCTGAATGTCCAGTCCCTTTGCACAATATTAGTCTACTGTTAAAACACACATATTACATTTCTCAGGCATCATGAATGCTTACAGCTACAAAAACATCTTATGAATTACCCTGAAAGCTTGTTCTCTTGAAAATGTACATGTTGGATATTTGGCAAAGCCAAGAGATTAACCCCTTTATACTGTTATGGCGTTCTATGCTGTCCAGCATTCATTGGGCCTTAAATCCGTTGCGCAGGCATAAAACGCTGTAACAGCTTTGAGCCCCTGGAGGTCTGCTTTACTCACCACCACCGATCCACTTCGGGAGGACTGCCTGACAGCCCAGGCAGCCCTCCCCTAGCGAATCAAGCACCCAGGGGCTATGTGATTACTCTCACAGAGTCGGTGGGCAGGATGCCAGCTTCCACACTCCTCCAGGAGTTTGTGGCAAATGTCTGTAGAAAACAGTGTTTGTCACACAATGTTTTACTCAATGGAGTAAATTCCAGTGAAGTCACAGTTCCCCTTTAAGTCACACATTTTTGAGGGGAGCTGTTTGAACCCCTTGACCTTGCAGTTTATTTCCTGAATATTGACTTGTGATCTCAATCAAATTTTAATTCCTTTGTTCTGGCCAGTGATTAACCTTGAGTCAAATGATTTTGGAGAAATAGTTCTTGGAATAGATTTTGGAATTACTGTTCAAGTGAGAGTTTTAATTCACTACAACACATGATTTAGTGTATATACCCCCACGTGGGATGTGTGCATATAATCTACACAATACCTACAAGAGCCCAGGAAATGTGAAAACTGAAATAGTCACTGAAAACAAATGCATGAATTAAAATCCAAAACTCTTAATCCCAATTTATTTTATATTTACAAAAGACTCCTAATCCTGCTTTCAATAGGGTTTTGTGATGTTCACATTTTGTGTGTTTCATGTTTTGCCTAAGAATTATGTAGGCTTAGGTACGGATGTATGTTTGCATTTTAAATTTCCCTTAAAAAACACCAGAATGACTGAGAAATACGCTTTAAGTGATAAATATACCAGAAAATAATCCTTTTTACGCTAAAGTTCTGTCTACGTGTGAAGAATGGTGTGTGTATTGTATTTATTTTTTTATTTTTTATAAGTGAAGGAGTTCATATCTTATCTCGTGTTGAATAATGAGTTGGGAAATATTTGACACACACATAATGTGTTCTATCCCACGTCTGTGAAACCAGAAGGGGAATACAGATGTCATGTAAAACAATAATTTCTTTACAAAACTGTTTTTTTTTTTATATAGATAATAAATCATGCCTTTCTCAATCAGTTTTTTTTTTTTTTTACTATCTATGAAACAACTGATTTAAAAAAGGCATAATAGGTAAAGTATACATGAGATATCATTAGGAAAAGAGTGGATTCCAGAATTGGTTCATAACCGCCCACCAGTGCAAGTTATAATTCTATATCGAATCATAGTTAGAATGAGTTTAGACAAATGAATGGAAGCCAATGTCATATCTCCTGGCTTGGCCCCTGTTTCCCCTCTTCCATTTAGGCGAAGGTAACATTGAAACAGAGCGTGAAGCTGTTAAGCAAATTGGATTGATTGATTGATTGTAATATAATGTGATAATAGAACAATTGAGTCACCTTGTACTGAACACAACCAGTTAGATAGCACAAAAAGAGTAACACAATGATCAGAGGAAACCATCACGTCAACTAAGATGATACCCATGAAACCCAGCTGTCAAATTTACAAAACACATAAATATTTTTACATTTTAAAAAGAAAAAAAAAGGGAAAAATTAAGATATAAATTACAGATTAGAAGATAAGAGCAAACATTTTGTTACACTCATGTCATAGAACATTTTGAAAAATTAGCAATATTAGGGTTACTTCAACCACCCTGACCACTTTAGTAATTTGCATTGGTCATGGTGGTAGGAATCTGTATGTGCAGCATTTCTTTTGAAAGCATAGAGTAATCTGCACTTGTGTGCTTCCAAATGTCTGTGCATAAAATTGTCAGCAAGCACAGCAATGCCAGCAAAGGGAAGCATTTTTCTCCCCTCCTCGCCTCCACAAGAAAATTGCTCATTAAAAAATAAATTCCCTACATCCACTCTCCCAGTCTTCCTCACTGGATCAAGTTGAGTGTATGCGCTCTGAGCCAGTGAAACTGTCCAATGACAGGCTTCTCTATGAGAAGCCTGTGATTGGACAACATGAGGCCCTGATTGACGTCAAAAAGGGGTGTGGAAGTGCTGGGAGCTTCACCCTAAACTGGATTCCAGGTAAGTAAATAAATAAATCTGTAGACTGTAAATTTGCAGCATAATTTTGATAACCTTCTATATGTCAGCCTATTTCTATGTCTCATACTAAGTTTTGTTACATAAAATTGTCAATTTTGAAAAATCGTTTTTCAAAATTAGAGTGTTCCATTAAAAATATTGAGTAAACAGAAACTAGCTAAGTCTCTTCAAATCAACTACTGAAAGAGTTAACTAAGAAGATACAGTTGGCAAGGTAAAGAACAAGGTAAAGAATTGCAGTGGATCATGTCAAAAGCAATATATAGCCTCGAGGAGATGGTTGTCAAATGACCACTTATGCAGCCCGGAGAAATTAATTGAAGATTGTAAATGTCACCATGGTATTTGCTTTCTCGTAGGAAGTAATCTGTATTACTAAAAGGAGAGGCACATCACTTAGGTTGGTCTCTGGGGCATTTAGTTCATCACCCATGACAATATTGAAACAATTTTAGAAACAAATTGTACATCAACAAATAATTTATTGCACATAGTAACAGTTGGGGAAATTTCCAATTCAAGAGAATTCCCAGAAGGCTACTTTAAATGTTGCTATACAATGCCTACAAAAATACCTAGACTGGTACTATCATATTGTACAATGATTACATGGACTAAAACTTACATTGTCTATAATCAGGTTCATAAAATGTCTTCTCTTTAAAGGACCAGAGGTATAACTAGGATTCGCAGGGCCCCGGTTCAAAAATCAGAAAAGGCCTCCTTATGCTCTTACCGATATACATAAACTGGCATACACTCAATGACACACACACTGTTTAACGAACACACACACTTTCACTGACAGACACACTCTCAATGTTACACATTCACTGACATACACAGTCATAGGCAAGCACAGTTTAACCAACACACACTCACTGACAGACACACACATTTTCACTGATTTGCAACACTCACTTAGAGCCACATCTCTCAGTGACAGACACACACACACATTTACACATTCTTGCACACAAACCCAACAAATTAATTTTATGTATTGCAGGTTTTTATTTTCCCTGCTTTTGGGAGAGCTGGTGTGGGTCCTCGAACTGGGGTCCAGCAGGGATCTTTTCCCTGGTGTCCAGTGGCTCCTGTAATCTTCCTACTCTTCCTCACCACTCCCTTGCATACTGCTTACTGATGACGGGGCCAGAGTGATGTCATATTCCGGATCGCTGCAACGCCATAGGGCATGAGGGAGAGTGTTGGAAGAGCAAAAACACACCAGTATATTTTGGCAGATTAGGTACCTGCTGTCCTGCTAAGCAGGTGCCTGCTCTACCTTGGTCAGCCAGCTCCTGGGCCCCCTGTGACAAGAGAAATACAGTGGCCTGGTCAAACTTGCAGCATCAGCGACCTCTGTAGTTCCGCCACTGACTCCAAATGTTATAAATGTTTTCATTGTTTTAAATGAATAATACTGTATTACCATTATTCTTTAGGTACCCCCCTGCCAAATGCTACAAAAGTGGAGAATCAGAATACGTCTGTTGCCAGCATGCAGTGCAGGCTGACACAGATGTAAAATACAATTAGAATAGACATTTGGCTGTCCAGAACAGAGCTCCGGGGTTCCAAAGTCACGAGTGCTGAGGGCTTAACTAGCCTCCAAAACTCAAGTGCAAATAACTGAAGCTGAAACACTGCACAGTCAGATTCCTGAATTTGAATTTCAAATTTGATGCATACTTCCATTTCTCTTTAAATTTCTCTTTGTAGTGTCTACACAGTTTGACTTGTATCAGTAAACGTCTGTAGCTTTTATGTACGCCAAACAAGTTACACTAAGTCATGGGAAAACATTGTGAATTATACTCCCATGATGCTTAGCTAGGCTTTAGGTTGGCTAAGTATCATGGGATAGGAATGTATTTCACAAACACCTGCCATGTCAGAGATAGACATGGCTACACTAGACTATAACATGGCCAAGGATTATCACGTCAGGTTCATTTGGACCAACCGGACAGTGGCTAGATCAGCTCAGACATTTAGCATCCATTAGATGTCTTGGGTAGCAAACTTCTGTTATGTCCTACATTTTACCTTGAATGAATGAATATTCCATTGCTCATTAAATAAGTTATACAATGATGGCTGATTCTCACGTACAATACAATTAAATCATTCATTGAACAATTTAGCTTTACTATTTACAGCAATCACTATTTTCCCTTCAACAATTTTTTGCCTTTTGTGACTTTAATCAAACGTTAAACAAGCATTATCCCTCAAAATTCTTCAGAAGCCAACACAGTATTATCCATCACATTCAACACACCATTATCTTGTACAATATCCTTATCTTTATAAGTGCGTTAATTGCAGTCCTCCAGTTCCATTAGTCAGTACAACCTGTGCTTTTCTGTTAATGGAGAATGTGGTTACTTCTCTAATACAGACCAGTGGGCTTCGAAAGAGCTGTTTTGTGTAATTGTAAACCATAACTTCCTTACACAGAACATAAACTGTAATTTCATGAAAGAAATACTTGTGCACGGATGCCCACCAATTTCAAATTCCTTAGCTGCTAAATGGTTGGAACACACTATGCCTGGCATGCCGAAAGAAATACAGACAATCAAATAAAATTACTTAATGGAGAAACTTACGGTGATTCTACATAACACCACACATTCCTCTGAAAACATATGGCCTCCCGGGACGGAACTGGGGGACTAGGTAACCACTGAAGGGGGGTGGGTAAGCGGCCTCATGGCGGGACACAAACTCATGGAACGAGAATTCCTCAGCTAGCGCTCCAACTTTAATTACAACGCAGCCTATGTCATGACCCTATGTCATGACTAATGCTGTTAAGGGATTCTATTGTATTCGTTTACATTTATCTTGACCCACATTGGTTTTTGTTATTGAGAACTTAGTAAATACAAAATGGTAGCCTCACAGCTTGTTTCTTACAGAAAGTGAACTAATATGTGGAAGCAGAGCACAAACTATTTCTGGAACAAACTTTAACCTCAAAATTCATACCATACCTACTTATTGTACTACGATTAAGGATGTCACTACATCCTGCGGAATGTAAAAATGTTTTTGTATTTCTGTGCTTCACCTGTAATGTGCTTTGGTTTTTGGCTGTCCAAAATAAAATAAAATACTGCCTATATAAAAAGCCCATTTGAAAAGTCCCTCAAAGAAACACTATAGAGCTAGGAACACAAATCTGTATTCTTAACGCTACAATATCCCTAGTCTTTGTTTTTCAGCCCCTCTTCCCTAGGTGTATCAAAAAATTAAAATGAGAAATGAAAAAATTAAAAAAGTTTAACTTTTAATAATAACATTTTATAAATGTATTTTTCCAATGCTAAGACTCCTTACTTCTCCACCTCCTGCGACATCATGGATAAGACATGGTCTTCTTCGTCAAGGTCCAATCCAATGCCCGTTATACGGGAGCATTGGGGACCAAAGCAATGCTTTCCTATGGGGCTTCTGCATCAGATTTACTTGTTCTAGTGCTGCAGTAGGGCCACTAGAGTGAATCCTGAAATTTGCAACCTCTCTAACTGATGCATGGAACTCTCTCTAAGGCATTTACCTAGCTTGAAAACATAAATGTAGAAATAGAATTAACTTTACAATGGAATAAATAGTGTTTCATGTAGAACGACTTTAGAAAACATCTCAACCAGACACTGAATTACTTAACGTGTGTTTCCAGCCTATTCCCTTTATAATGATTTCAAACAAGCTCAAAACATTAAAATTCTTCATTAACCATTCTGACACACCTGGAAGTGTGATATGCTATTTTTATCGAAGGCCATACATATTTAGCAGTAGACATTTAACGGAGTATAAATTCCAACACTATACTTCTATTACTGCCTAGAATGGTTTATATATTTTTTTACTTCTTACATTTTCGTTTTGCAGTATAATTGTATTATGATATTAATTTTATTGCATAATAATTGTACACGTGAATTCACATAAGCAAAATGAAAACCACACAATTGTGAAAATGTTTAGCAAGGCAGAATCACTGTAGGTCACGGTAGTCAGCAAAACATAGAAGATCAGTGTCTCAGCACTACTCATCACACCAAAACAAAAGCCAGTGTTTCAATGCTGCCCATCAAACTTTAGTAAGAAAAGATGGAAAACACAATATCGCAATAGGGCGCTGAAGGGATTAAAACCCCTTCAGCCACTTACCTTAATCCAGAGCCAGGCTCCCTCGGCGCTGGTTACCTCTTCTCCTCACCCGCCGACGTCAGCTTCTGAGCGGAGCTGAATGCGCATGCACGGCCAGAGGCGCGTGCATTCAAACCCACTCATAGGAAAGCATTACTCAATGCTTTCCTGTGGGGATCTTATCTGATGCTGGACACCGTCAGGACATCAGATAAGTGCAATTTACTCAGTGTAAATCGCGGATGCGGTCTCTAGTCAGGGAGACAGCCACTAGAGGCTGGATTAACCCTGCAATGTAAACATAGCAGTTTCTCTGAAACTGATATGTTTTCAGCTGCAGGGTTAAAACTAGGGGGACCTGGCACCCAGACCACTTCATTGAGCTGAAGTGGTCTGGGTGCATATAGTGGTCCTTTAAGCCTTGTAGTATTGGTCCATACATGTCAACAGTCTGTATTTAGGAGTGAGAGGCCCTATTTTGGACCCAAATTCCTCTTTCTATCCTAATGCCTCTATTCTGGGAGCTTCATGTTGTTGATGGTTCCAGGTGTATCACAGAGCTTCCGAGCAATGATACTCACAGTTATGTGTCTTTAAACTACAACCGATATGCTTAGAAATTAGTCTGAAAATAAAACACAATGTTACATTGTAAGATGAGCTGTGTAGCACTATCATAAAATTTGGTTATGCACTGTATTGTGTATAAGTTATGGTAATTTCGGCAAAACATGCTGCAGCTGACTGAGGAAGCTTTTATAAGGCTGGACTTTTATGTATAGTGCATTCTTTATTATTTTATTATATATTTTTTTCTTTCTGTGTGTTAATAAATATGTTTGTCGAAGCACTATTGCCAGCACTTTATATTATGGTTAACTTTAAAGCCTTTTTGTAATGCGCAGTGCAGAGATTTCAGGGTTAAGAGCCTAGATTTAAGGGAACACAGACAGATTAGCTATACGCTTGAATTCTTTTATATAATTTTGCTAAAACATTTATTAATCTACGTGTTCTGCAGGAGCATACAACATGGGTTCATGTCCCTTGTGGTCACAAATAGTGGCCTAGATTCAAAGTGACATGTTGGTCGTGAACTGTTTATTTATGGTTATAGAGAAAATATATTTAATGCAACTTAAATAATAAAAAAAATTAAAAAAAATCTTAAATCCTGAAGATTTTATTTATTTTAAAAACATTTTAAAAATGTGACTGGAAAACAAAATGTGTTAAAAATTTCATAAAACGCTTTTACCAAACCAGGACATGGGGTAACTCAAATTAGTTGTTTAAAGCGGTGAAAGGTTGTTTGTTTTTTATTTATTTTTTTCAATACTGCTCCTTGTTCAGAATGGAGCTTCAAATGGACACTCCACTCTGAACAAGGAACCACTACATCTTAAACTGAGAAAAGGCAGTGTTTACATTGCTGTCTAACGCTACCTTTAGTGGCTGCCTGTCACTCAGCCATTACAGGGCCTTCCTTGTAACAGTCCTGCAATCTTTGCAGGATCGGCGTTCAACATCTCAACTGTGTGTATGTTGGTTTAACCTAAAATGATTTTTCTTTTTAAATATATTTTTGGGATGTTTTATATATAGCCACTGGATAGGAAACACTTTCTGTTCTCAGGGGTATAGAATACAAATTGACACCCAGGTACATAGACACAGATACTTCCCTTATTCCATAGGGAAGTCCTGACATTGGGGTCCTGTCCACTTGCTTTTGGTTTCTGGTTTCCCATGTGCATAGAAGGAACAGCAAGATGTGCTTTCACTGGGCAAACTACACTCAGGGCATTTCATTAATGCAAGAGAGCTTTCTCAGCACTGTGCCAGGCTAAATGAGCCCACATACATTAATTTTCTTTCATATACTTCACTACAAAGTTCACAGAGGGAAAAAAGTAAGCATCTATCTGAAACATGGGATACACATTCCAGGTTGACAAATATGAAGCCAGGACAGATGGGGCTGAGTGGGGACAGTTCAGGAAAATGCCATTGAAACAGGTTTTCTGCTGACATGCATCTGCAAATTAATTTAAAGGGCTATGTACCATGCTCACATAGCTCATCTGTCAGCTTGAGGTCACTAATTATGGCCCCAGCTGACAGAAGGGACCCCTAAGGTATCAAAAGATACTTGCCATTCCCTGTTTTTTTAAATGGCACAGTCAGAAATACCACGGCTGAGCATGATCGCTTAGAGCAAAAAATCTACATATTTTGGGGCGGGTGCATTGTCATGTTCAACCCTCATTGTTTAATAATTCTGAGCTCCAACCTGCTGCCCATGGGGAGGTCTTAGAAGGTGGAGTATACGCCCCCAGAATATTAGAATTAGGGCCTACAACCACATGTGGGGGATGGCTGGAAACTACGTCCCACCAAAATATTAGAATTAGGGACTCCATCTGCCACTCATAGTTGTGGTGGTGCTAATGAGTGGGGCTTTGGTGGGGTAACCCTAATTTTTGCCTACAGACCTCCTAACATGCACAACAAAGAAACTGAAAGAAAAGACAAGAAAATATATTTTAAATCTCTGTGCTTAAAATGTTTTTATTTATAGGAAATGTTCCACATTCTTCATAAAAATTATTAAATATTTATGACTGTCTCATTTCATGCATACCATGCAGTCATATTTTGTGCTTGCATCATTTTTCAGAAATGTCCAAATTCATTGTTAGGGGGCTATAATTAGAGAACTTTCAGTCACGGATGAGATAATGATGAACAATCCATTAGAACCATTTCCAGAAATAAAATGCTCTAATTGGATATTCTGGTAAACCTTGTATTAGACAACCATGGCAAAGGATTTTGGGTAATGTAAGTTTCAGGATTGACCATTTAATTGATATTTAAAATGTCATTTATCATCACTTGATTTTGCTATGGGAAATATTTAATGCACACCAGTATATCTGCCACAATAAGTACACAGTCTGACCTAATCACCTCTTAATGCCATTAATGGTATTTTATCTGTCAATGTCCTATATTTGAGATGCACACACCATTTTCTGTGATTGTGTTTCCTTGGGATCTATACCACTAAATATTGAGCCCTATATTTTACGGGAAGCCAATGCAGGGACTGACAGAGGGGTGGAAGGTACGGGCGGACAGGAACATGAGCCTCGCCGCTGCATTCATTATAGACTGCAGTCGGGCAAGTTGGGAGCAGGTAAGACCACTGAGAAGCGGATTGCAGTAGTCAAGGCGAGAGATGACAGTGGCATGGACTAACACCTCAGCCGCATCTGATGTTAAGTAGGGGCGGAGCGCGCAATAGTTTTGAGATGGAAGCGGTAGGATTTGGCAATCAGTTGGACTTGAGGGGTGAAGTAGAGGTCGATGTCAAAGAGAACACCTAGCCTGCATGGTGGAGCTGATGGTAGAATCATTAACGTGGAGGGAGACAGAAACGGGAGCAGCAATACTTGAGGGAGGAAAGACCAGAAGTTCTGTTTTGGACAAGTTGAGCTTAAGGAAGTGGGCAGCCATCCAGTTAGAAATAGTCAGAGACACAAGTCAAGAGGGACGGGGAGAGATCAGGGGAGGACAGATAGATTTGCATGTCATCCACATAGAAGTGATATTGGAAGCGAAAGGAGCTGATGAGTTTACCAAGAGAGGCAGTATAGGTTGAGAACAGTAGGGGACAAAGTATTGACCCTTGGGGGACACCAACATAGAGGGGTTGGGGGGGGAGCCAGAAAAAGAAAACACTAAAAGAGCACCAGGAGAGGTAGGAGGAACACCAGGAGAGAGTAATATCTCGTAGACCGAGATTACGGAGGATGAGAAGAAGCTGTTGATGATCAACAGTATCAAAAGTAGCCGGAAGGTGAGGGAGAATTAGGATAGAATAGTGACCATGAGATTTTGCAGCCTATGAGATGTAACCTATCTATCAGCATTCATTTTTGAAGCAATTGGAGCTACGGTAGCTCTTCGGAGTGATATGATCAGACAAGCTAGCCATTGCTCCCCACATGCATCAATGAGCCTTTGGCACCCATGACCATGATGCAGGTTCACTGGTTGTTCTTCCTTGCACCACTTTTGGTAGGTACTAACCAATGCATACTGGGAACACCACACAAGACTTGCCATTTTTGAGATTATTTCACCTATCACTGTCATCTAGCCATCACTATTTAGCCCTTGCCAAAGTCACTCAGACCTTGACAATGTTTTCTGCTTCTAACACATGAATTCAAAATTCAGGAAATTACTTTTCACTTGCTGCCTAATATATCCCATCCTTTCACAGGTGCCACTGTAACGACGGAATCAATGTTATTTACTTCAGCTGTCAGTGATTTTAATGTTGTGGCTGATCAGTGTAGCTGTAAGGAAAAGCTTATTGTGTAGCATCATAATAGCCCCTCCAGAATGTGTGTGTATTATGTGACTGGAATGATATGGCTGAATGAGTGCCTTAAAAATAAAGCAGTGGAATGCCGCTAGTAAAGGATGTGACATGGCAGTATCAGGCATGTCACATCCTTTACACATTCTGGAGGGGCTATTATGATGCCACACAACAAGCTTTTCCTTACAGCTACACTGAAGGTCCACAGGAAGGTCCTCCAAGCCCCTCTTCCCCTACCTTAAGGTGAGCCGTCCTCCAGTTCCAGCCCTGCTCTTCTCTGCTCAAGCAGACCAGACACTCCTCTGGCACTGCGAGCAGGAGGGCAGGAGCAGTGACTGGCCTGCTCTGCAGACAGACAGACACTCTACGCTCTTGCGGCCATGGGAGCAAGGATGGGCCATAGGAGGGAAGACAAGAATCAGACTGGAAATATCTTTCCTGTCTTGTGGCTGGTTGCAGTTACAGCACAAAGCAGCTGTAGGGCAGGTGGCCCGCAAATAGATTAATTGTGGGCCGCAAGTTTGACATGCTTGCTGTAGATTATGGCAGTAGTCCTTGTCCCTAGAGTATAAAAATAAGTTGCTTCAGTTGCTATGTGGTCCTTTTAAACTCCCATTGAGTAGATTCATGTCTTGTGTAGAGGTCCTAAGACTGGTTAACATGTAACAAATATTAGCTACCTGACTAATTTCTTATGTTATCGTTACAGTTACACTCCTAGGTCTAGCGTTTACCAGCTATATCTCATCTCCTAAATTGCAGGAGAAGACATTAAATCTTTCTAGTGCTTGGTTGGGATTAAAAGGCGTTTGCAATGTATCATTTTGTAATAGATTGGGAGGTAGATGGTATTTCAATATGCCTGCCCCAGAAATACACAGGTGCGTCTTTCTAATTTTTTGTTGATGCAGAAATTCACAGAACACCCTGTCTTAAGCAATGAAAAGTGACGTTCCATTTATTTCAGGAAGGAATAATCTCCTTTTGGCAAAGTGGGTCTTACCTGGGACCGGCTATGTATGTTAACAGAGATAATGAGGAAACTCTCACTTGGTTTGGAATGAAAACCAAATGATCAGCTACCCTACAAGTCTTCTCTGATTAAAAGTCGATCTGTTCATTATTCTCTAAATGTCTAAAAAAGTATGCATTAGATTAATATTAGCACTTTCTTGAAGGCGAGAAAACACGTTTCCTGTAAAACCTTGTTAAATTCTTTACATTACACTCCTATTGTTAAGAGGTGAAAGAAAATGCACACACTTGTAAAAACACAACGTGATGAAAATAAACATAATTTCATTGACTTTTTATCAGGAGCTAATTTAAGCAGCGTTAAACAGATTGTTCTGCAGAGCTCTTCTGAAATGATCTTATATAAAACTATAACAATATTTCAAAGGTTTATATAATCTTCTGTAGCAACGGAGAAATTCAAATTATTCTAGATACCTGTGACCAAGCTCTCCTGGTTGGGTTACTCTTCGTTTCTTTCAAGTCTATCTCTTTGTTTATAACAGCATACATCTTCCAATTCTAAATTTTCCCATCTTGTCACATTTATATCATTCCATTTACCGATGTATCTATTTCCATCTGTCCATCCATTCATCTAATCTATTCTGTATATCACACCAATCTAATCAATTTCAGTTATTTAATCTATCCACCAATCGTGACTGGCACTCTTCAATCTATTCACCCATTCATCCAACTTTATACCCATCCATTAAAGGACCACTATAGTGCCAGGAAAACATACTCGTTTTCCTGGCACTATAGTGCCCTGAGGGTGCCCCCACCCTCAGGGACCCCCTCCCGCCCAGCTCTGGAAAGGGGAAAGGGTTAAAAACTTACCTTTTTCCAGCGCTGGGCGGGGAGCTCTCTGCCTCCTCTCCTCCTCCTTCTTCTTCTTCCTCGGCTGAATGCGCAAGACAAGGCAAGAGCTGCGCTACAAGAGCTCACTGTCGCATAGGAAAGCATTTACGCTTTATGGACGCTATGTTCTCACTGTGAAAATCACAGTGAGAAGTTATCGCATGCTTAGTGGCTGTCAATGAGACAGCCGCTAGAGGAAATTTGGGAAGGCTTAACCCATTCATAAACATGGCAGTTTCTCTGAAACTGCTATGTTTATGAAAAAATGGGTTAACCCTAGCTGGACCTGGCACCCAGACCACTTCATTAAGCTGAAGTGGTCTGGGTGCCTAGAGTGGTCCTTTAAATCTATTCATCTATCTATTCTTTCATATAAATCCCATTTACTTACACATACAGGAGGCTCCTGTAGTGTTTCCTAAGTGATTAACAGAGCAGGAGATAAGACATTCTAAATCAAACAGAATTTGCAATTAAAGAAGTGTAAACATTAGATGACTTTTTGCAGGAAATGTTTATAAAGTCTGAGCAAGTCACATGCAGGGAGGTGTGGCTAGGGCTGCACAAACAAGGTGATTAGACTCCTAACTGGCAGAGAATTGAGTGTTAAGATTGCTGGGGCATGATCTATACATCAAAACTACTATATTAAGCAGTTGTTTTGGTGACTATAGTGTCCCTCTAATTATACCTTGGAAAATTATAAATTTGTGTTTTATATTTATAGGATGAGTGACATTTTCTTTCCTTCAATTGTTGATTATCTACAGTTACTAATCATAGTGAGTGAAACAAAAATAAATAAAATAAAACCCTAAGCTGGGTATATTTTATTGCCCTCACTACTAGGGTGAAATAGTATTTTTCAAGATGACATTGATAGATTGTTTTCTTACAGAAATTTGATGATACCTTTTACATTTAAAAAAAAGTTAACAGAACTCTTTATAAAACCTAATGTTTTTGTAAAAACAAAAAAAAAAGGTTTCAAAAATTTCATTGCTGAATACATGGAGATGAGTATTTTAATATATCTTCCCCGACAGTACTGTACAATAATATTAGAAATTACAATATGACAAAAAATTCAATTTACAGATACAACAAATGAAGAACATACATACCAGTATTTGAGGGACTGGGAGAGGTTTTGCTTCTTTGCTTAAAGATACATAGGTGAAAAATGCACTGACTGCGCGATATTTTTCTTGGGACTCGCCAACTAAGGTATCTGCATCCACAAATACTTCAATCTCCATAGATTTATTGCTCGTGAAAGTCATACGACCAGATATAGTAATAATGCAGCCTGGAAACATAAAACACAAATGTTATATTTGTTTAATACAAAAAAAGCCAAGCTGAATATACCAGATTATCTGTCCTAAAGGTGATAAGTAAAATAATTCTCAAGTATCAGCTTCCTTAGAACAAAACCTCAAACTTTTGGCCAGAATGGCTGGTTGGAAGAGTGAGTTATTCAAAAAGCTTATAACGACAATATTACGGCTGACATCAGTTTACGTACAGCCCTGTCCATAGTTTTGTGAACTAGCAGTGCAACAATCTCCAAAGCTGCCACCCACAAATGTACATAGCTCAGGTTTATATCCTGGAACCATGGCACAGTCTCATAGCTGGACTGAAGTTTGCAAATTGATGCAGTTAGGATTCTGAAAGGCAGATAGGATTGGATTTTTCCACCCCTCTCCCTATCTCCGGTGCTCTAAAGTGGCGTCTGTTCTGCCTTATGGATGGGCCAGTCCTATCTACATGATAACCTTTGCAGCAAAGCAAATTGTTATGGTGCTTACAGTGACCCTATAGCTTTTATTTCCACAGTGTCACATCTTGCCTTGTTCTGCGGATCAGTCTGGCTTCGGCTTCTGGTATCCAGTACTCTTTTTACAATTCAAGTTTAGTTTTTCTTGGTTTTCTGGTTTTCTATTCTATGTCTGGTTTTCTTTATGCTGGGTTTCTGGGTTCATTCTTATATTCCGTCCCTGGATTTCCCAGTCTCTTGGATTCATTTAAAATGTTTGTTTTATGTTGCCACACCCGTTTGTTTTCCATTTTCATTTTATTTCAGTCTGGATCTGCAGCAGTGTTTCAAGTATCTGCCCTTTCTTGCAGGTAAGTGCTATTGTGGTTTAGTATGGTTCTTTTAGCGAACATTAGGCAGTGTAGGACCTGCCGAATATGGGGTACATTGGCGTTGTGGCAGGCTTATGCAATGTATGATCATATAATGTAACTAAATCCCCATACTTTTCATATATAGTGCTTAGTTATGTCTCCTCTTGTTTTGCCTATTATATCCTGTCTTGTTTTATTTTGTAACCCCAGTTCATGTACAGTCCTGTCCTGCCCTGTTCTTGTTTTCCTCATGTCTTGTGTTCTGGGTTCTACTTTCTGTCCTGCTCTGGTTATGGGTTCTATTAGTTCTGTCTTGTTTTCTTGTTTGGTGACTATCCTAGCCTTGCCTTGTTTCGGTACTGGATACATGTCTGCTGCAGAGCCCCCCTATCCAGTTCCTCGGAGGTCTGCTTACTTCCTAGCTTCAAGTTCCTGGGATCCGCTGTAGCTGCAACAGGTTTCTGGTATGTGGCCGCACAAACGCTGGTGCTCAACACCAGAGGGCGTGTGGTTACCCTGCACCAGGCCCTGATAATCCTCTTCCACACTGTGACTCCTACTCTGAACATCAGGCATACTGGGTCCTGGTCCACGCACCGCCGTCCGGACAGTGTCTGGGTCCCGGGCATCGGAGTTCCACCCTGACACACAGTATGGGCTGTTACCTTTGTATTCTACAGACATCAGTTGCCCTGTCTCTTTGGAACACTGGAATTACCATGACAGAACCTGCTTAGAGGAAAGTCGGCAACCTTTGCTCACAGAAACATTGTTCAGTGATCTTTTTAACAGAGGTTGGAGATCAAATGAAATCTCCAATAGATTCTGAATATAACATTTGGTTGGTTGCAATTTTACAAAGTACTAAAATGAACCAATCACCATAGACACCAGTGAAACCAGGTTTAATAAGCAACTCCTCCTCATTCACATTAATCACTTTTTAAAGGAGAATATTTTATAAATCACTGGTAAGACCACATATTGAATATGCTGTGCAATTTTGGGCACCTGTTCTAAAGAAGGATATTATGGCACTAGAAAAAATGCAGAGGCAGGCTACAAAATTAATAAAAGGAATGGAACATATCAGCTATGAAGAAAGGTTAACAAATTTAAACCTATTTAGTTTAGAAAAACGTCGCCTGAGAGGGGATATGATAACATTATACAAATATATTCGGGGCCAATACAAACAGGGCCGGACTGGCCCACCGGGATACCGGGAAATTTCCCGGTGGGCCGCGGCACCTGGGGCCGGTCTGACAGCCCTAATCATTGGGCTGACAGCTCTGGCAGCACAGAGCCCCATGGGAGCAGGGGGAGCCGGCCGGCACAGCTCACATACGGCCGGCCGGGATCATAAAAAAAAAAAAAAAAAAAAAAAA